TTTCTGTAATGCTTGTGTTGTCATTTATGTAATGTAAGACCTAAGAAGCACTTATAACCAAATTTTAGCTTCCTAGGACTCACCAGTGCGAAGAAACAGAGATGAATGAGTGAGTGAGTGACTTTCTCATTTATAAGTTTAGATTCTATACGGCGCGGCGGGCTATTCCTTTTCTAATACTTTAATGCCTTCAATTTATGCCATCATTATGCGGACGTTGAAAAAGGAAGTTAATCTCATCGTAATTCCCTCGGAACGTTATTATCGACGTTTTCGTACAACTTCCTGTCACGTGAGTCTTGTAACGTTAACACCTATGTAGGAGTTGTTTGACATTATGTAGAATCGTTCGTGGATGTTGTTGGTGTTTTATTTCTTGTCCCTCCGTAGATTACCGTTTGTTCAAATGAGACACGCTCCAGTTAATTTCATCCGGATTGAAGAGTGATGGAAAAAGTTGTTTTAGAACAGTAGCTAATTTCCCGGTGTAATTATTGCGACAGTGAAAAAGATCAAGCTTTTTGTTTGTAAATGTGTTTGGCTTCTCTTCCATGAAAATTGCTAAAAATTAAAAGCTGTTGTGTACCTATTCATAGAATTTGCTAAATAATCAGAAAGATAAAGAAAAAAAAAGAACGTGAAATCAATTTGTGAATAATCAGATTTCATTAAACGTTTCCTATCTTCGAATTTAAATGAAACAAAGCATGTGTGAGATATAATCCTAAGTTTTTTTATTCGTTTAGAATACCTATTGTCTATATCACCTATATCACAACATGTTTCGCTAGCACAGTAGNTTTAGTTATCCTATTCTGTGACATAATGTATTGATGTGATCATGCGGTTGCTGTCTTCAGACGGTTGCTGTTTTCAGACGGCTGCTGTCTTTAGACGGCTGCTGTCTTTAGACGGCTGCTGTCTTTAGACGGCTGCTGTCTCCAGACGGTTACTGTCTCCAGGCGGTTGCTGTCTCCAGACTTTAGTGCTAATAAGCGATTGGACTCATTTTTAATGTAAAGATTCTGATTGACCGGAAGAACTAGATTTTCAGTGAACCTCTCCACTACATTTTATTGGATCTGCCTTCAGCTTTGTCCATCATTATCAGGCAAAAGTGTAATGAAAACAATAACAGTAACAATTTGAATAAATTCGTAATTGTCTTCTCGAGTTGGCAACGTGAATTATTCATTGACACTAACTCTACCCTACAAACAAAACTTTAACCTTTGATTGTCCACATGTTGAATCGAATATTTTCGTTATCGCTTGACGGTGGGTTATGAAGCTCGTTAGCAATTATTCCTATCTTATCAAGAGCCTTTCACGATTTCTAAAGTTCCCCAATCGAACTCTTCCTTCATTAAATGCGATATTTATGTCCCAGTGGTTTTATGTTACTCACATGAAAGGGGATTACAAATACAGTGTAAATGTAATCGATAAATACTGGGTTTTTTTCATTAAATAACGGGGAGTTGCGTTTGTTATAATATACATTTTTTTTCGGTTTCAGGTTTCACCGATACCGGGTGTTTTTTTAAGGCTTTGAAATACTGCATTAGGTTTCATGGCTGATAGAAGACATACCCTGAAATGCTCTTAGAAAGCAATGAATATAAATTAAGATAAACACAAAATGAAGAAAACAAATCACGATACAATAATAAACTCTTTGAATGAGGAAGGCAGGCGATTATGTCTCTTGAGTTGAATTCTGTGTTGCTGTCATCCTGGCCTTCTGAATCAATTCTAGTTGACCAATATTTCAATAATAATACTTTATGCAGAAACATGTATAGAGTTTGTCAAAGGAAAATGGCTACTTAACCAAAAAAAAGAACCAAAAGTAAGACTAAAACTCTTCCAAGGAATAAAATCCACCTTTTAAGACATACTCCAAAAAAATTGAATGTTTTCAAAGTTATATGCATTATTCAATTTCGACCGGATCATTATTGAACAATCTTTTCCCAGTCACAGTGGGTAACCTGTATAAAAAATTAGTCCTTGAAAATGGCACATGTAAGTCATTTCGCTCTCTTGTATTAATAGTGTGAATTTGCTTATCCGTTTCAAAACAGTTACAATTACAAAATACAAAAATGCACACTTAAAATATGTACAAACACGGCAAGGTTGAAATTTGATGAATTCNGTTATTTTTATTCTTGTAAACATATGTTAATAGTTTATATAAATAAATACCTGTGAAAGTTAATAATTGCTTTGTTCTGAATACTCCTCGGCAGGACTCACGAACAAAGGTTGGGCATTTGTCTCTCTACTAAAGATACTTTCATGGGAAGTTTTCAAGTGACTTGACACATTTGATTCCACCAAGAGCGGTACATATAAGAAATACGCGACGGACTGTGGCTGCTCATCGTTCTGAGGTTCAACTCAGTACACCTCGAACTTCACTGTTTAAGAACTCTTTCATTTGGAGAACTGTGTTTTTGTGGAATAAACTTCCTGGAAACGTTTTTCCAAATTTTCTCCAGCGGGTTGGCTGTCTTTGTTCATCTTTCATTGTCTGAACCACTGTGCATGCTGTTTTTGGCGAGTGCATTGGCTTGGGATGTGGGGGTTGAACAAACCGGCCATCGGATGGCTGCTCCCACGTAGCTCGTATCCAGCGGTATTCTGTCATTCCCGCTGGATACGGGAATTACAGAATCACTTGTAGTTCTGTTATTCCCTACCTGAATGGCATTCCAACGATAGCTTGATCCTAAGGTGTGTACCCGTGCCGGGAGGATGAATGACACTGAGCCTACCAGCTGTCTCTACGGAACCTTCGAGATACAGGGCGTCCTCTCGTCATAGCAGCGCCTTGTCACGGTAATGCGATGATCTACCGTGATTTGCCTTCTCTCCCTAGCTACTCGTGTGCCTTTTATGGACAGAGTAAACTCAGCTTACGACTCCAACTGAAGTCACTGTGAATTTAGATCAGGAGCGGGTCTACAGAGGAGGTGGATGTCGAGCTTCGACTCCCACTGAACTCCCTGTAAATTTAGATCAGGAGCGAGAGCTTCTCAACTCTCCAACTCCTGATCCAATAACTGAACCTAAAAAAAAAAAAGTTTGGTAGTGCAGCCAGGAAACGACTGAGTCGTCTCCTCAAGAGCCTTGGTACCTTATGAAACCGCCTTGCCCCAAATCCTTGAGCGGCGTACGCAGAATCTGTCTCAGGTTTAGGGACAAACCCCTCATGAGCAGGTTAGCAAACGTTTGCGCTCAAGTGATGATTCACCGAAACCAGAGGCGAAAAAGCCCTGATCGGGTGAATCTAAGGCATCGTCAGGTGTAGCTGACGTTCAAAAACCCTCATATGGGAACGTTGTCGCGGGTATCAAGGTGGAAATCTTGCACTTCGACTATCCCACTACCTCATTAACGATGAAACAGCAGAGCATATACTTTGTGCCTGCCCCGCTGGGGACAGAATCAGGTTCTTTGAGTTCGGCTGATCCGTACTCTCACCATCTGACCTGAAAGACCACTCACCATACAAACTAATTGGCTTCGTTAAGAAGCTGGGTTTATTTGGCCGAGTGTGAAAAGGTGTGAGCCACAATAAACCCTTATGGGTAGGTCACTTCAGACCTACCTACCTACCTTCTCCTATCATCTGACCTGAAAGACCACTCACCATACAAACTAATCGGCCTCGTTAAAAACCTGGGTTTATTTGGTCGAGTGTGACTAGGCGTGAGCCACAATAAACCCTTGCGGATTGCGGTGGAGGGTCGACTAGACCCACTCACTTTGGACACAACCTAACCTAATCTCCAGCGAGTCTACCACTCACTTTGGACACAACCTAACCTAATCTCCAGCGAGTCTAATCCAATGTGAATCGCTACTTTCGCACAGGAACCGCTCTTAGACCGCCTTAAGGATTTTCCTGTAGTGCTTGTGTCTTAAAAAAAAAACCGAATTCGTGCGTCGATATGTGACAATGGAAGAGACATGGCTCCAAAACAATCGTCATCTGAGTCCATTTTACTCGATAGCAGAAAATCGGAGAACACGCAAAACACTTGTAACTAACTATGCCTCTCACCAACAAACTGAACATGCTAAACAGCTGAGACTGTGAACATATGTTCAAGACAAGTGTACCAACGTCAAGAAATGAAAACAACGCCAATCGACTGCACGTAGTCCGCGAAATTTGAACGTTCACCTCGTACCCGCATACTTTGAAATAACTTTAGTATATTTCGATCGTTTTTATAACTTCTGTTGTATTTTCGTTTTGTGTTCTTCAATATTGAAGTCTCATTTTCACGAAAATTCACATTCATGTTTTTATTTCGATGAATATGAACAAAATATACAATTTTAAAATACCAAAGTGATTTTGATTTAAATAGAAAAATACAAAGAAAACAATACTAGAAGCAAAAATTAGATTGTTGTTGATATATAACTAGGACTAGTTGTTGCACGCGGCTTCGCCCGTGTAGAATTTGGTTTGTCTCATTAAGTTTCGTGAAGACCATTTTACACAAATAGTTTTTATTTTTGTTAACCCAAAACTTCAGTTTTCCAACTTCAAAACTGACAAAATTCAATACAATCTTTGAACCCCTATTTTTTCCCCTTGGGGGGTGGAAATTCCTGCTTCCCTTTCTTGATGCTTATCAACGCTATACAAAGAACCTACCTGCATATTTCAAGATTCTAAGTTCAGTAGCTTCGGCTGTACGTTAATATAAGGGCACTAAGTAATGAATGGCTTCGAAAATCGAATTATGTTACCAATAAAGAAATTCACAGAACTAACACAACCATCACCGTCGTCTGCCCGCGTTCGTGTCGCGTTCTCGGCGATGGCGTTTCATTGCTTAGATTGCCCCGTTACCCCCGCGCTTCGTCCTCCGTCGTCCTATAGTAGACGCGACGCTTAATGGCTTACTGCGTTGCGTCAAGTTAATCTTATCATGATAACTTAAACGTTGAGTGTGTGTAACTAGAATCACGTAATTATTTATTCTCATTTAGTGGATTTGTGATTATCTGCTTCACTCTGTTTTTCTCGGTAAGTATAAATACTACATTTTGTAATAGAATTCTGTTAGTAACTGAAAGTTTTTTATACGCCCTAGAAAATATATTGCAAAAACCATGTACCTGCACAACGACAAATGCAATTTGGACAAAAATAGTTTTTGGTAGAAATTCGTCTAGATGATATTCAGAATGGATAAATACTTTCTTTGTTTCAGAAAATGTCATTTCAAAACCAAAAAGCTCTCACAGAAGAGGAATTACTGCTGTTTTTGGAAAATGACGATTTATCAGATATCGCCGTTTTATCTGACGATGATTTGGGATGGGATGAGTCGGAAAGTCAGCATGCTGACTTTATGGATGAAGGAGGACCTGTTGATGATCCGGAGAGTGGGATTGAAGCCGATGGACAAAGTGATGGTGGCTTGGATGGAGTAGCGGGGCCATCAATGGTGGGACCAGCACTGTCTACAGCGGAGCAAAGCCTGTCAACGGCAAGACCAGGACCAGTGCCCTCAACGGCAGAATCTGTGCCGCTCACGGCGGGACCCAATGTAAATGAAACTAATTATGTTGAAAATTTTTATAACCAGCACAATTTCACCAAAAAAGGAGATATTGTGTGGGTGGCTCATGCACAATATCAAACCAGATTTGTCAAATGGCATAATGGAAATGACTCAACTGAACTTGTAATTGACTTGCCTAGCCCAGTAGATTTTTTCATACGGCTGGAGAGAGTGTTAGCTGGAGAGAGTGGTATGATTTATGATTTCTTCATTTACCAAGGATCAACCACAGAAATGAACCCACTCTATATGCACTTTGGCGCATCAGCTGCTACAGTTATGCAGCTTTCTGATCGAAATACCGAACCTAATCACGCCTTATTTTTTGACAACTACTTCAGTTCTTATGACTCGTTTCAGTACCTTTGGTCAAAGTCAATATTTGCAGGGGGAACAATAAGATGGAATCGTTTTCGTACTGAAAATGTGCCAAATGATAAGGATATGAAAATGAAAGGGAGAGGAATTACGAAGTGGTACGACAATAAATCGGTTATCCTGGCCTCAAATTTTGTTGGTATTGGAGAGCAAGAGCTCTCTAGGAGATGGGATAAAACGAAAAAGGAATATGTTGAAGTGCCTAGGCCAGAAGCAGTAAGGAGGTACAACAGCAGTATGGGAGGTGTGGATAAACATGATTTTTTGTTGAGTATCTACCGCTCTTACGTTCGATCAAGAAAATGGACAATAAGGCTCATTTTCCACGCCATAGATCTGGCATTAGCAAACTCATGGTTGGAATATAAAAATGAAGCTTCAAATTTGGGTCTTCCACAACAAAAGATCCTAGATTTACTAGCCTTCCGTCAGTCTGTGGCTGAACATCTCATACTTACTAAAACACCCCCAAAAAGGGACAGGCCTTCAACGAAACTTCCCAATGATGACATTGAAAATAGATCTCAAAGAAACAGATATGAGTCTAGACCTCTGAAGGATTCTAGATATGATGGATATCAACATATTGCAGAATATGATAAAAAAAATATAGCTCAAGAAGTTGGAAGGGTGCAAGGAAAGAACACATGTTTACTGTAATAAGTGCCAAGTGCATATATGTTTGCTGAAAGACAGAAACTGTTTCAAAAAATTTCATAGTCGATAGTTACTCAATTTCCAACTGTTTTGAACAATAAAATCTTTCTTTACAATAAAAACAGTATTTTAGTTTGAAGGCGTAAACTGGACTTGTCGTTCTGGGGGTACATGTCCTAAAAACTGATGGGAGGGGGTAAATGTTTTTTTTCAACTGAAATATGATTGTTGATCCTTTATATGTCAAGAAGTTCAGGGCAACCATTTCAAGCATCTTCAGAACTGACCTCAAGCTTATTATTTCATATCATGTAGTTAAATGTCAATGTATTCAGTCGCCATCTTGAAAGTTTCATCTGTAAATTCCACTTCAAAATAAAGTATTCATGCATTAATTTCTTTATCCCAAATTTAAATTTTTTGAGTTGACCCGTACAAAAAATAAAAGGGGGGCATGAAAGAAATGCACTGTAGTATAGATCTCGATATAATTGACACATCTGTTTACATATTTGCTACCACTGTATGTACGAATACATTCAACTTCGAATTGACATAAACCAGAAAATGGGTAAAAAAAGCAATGCTTTTTTATCAAGTATTACTCATAATAAACCTATCATCATGCAGAGACCGGTTCAACGATATTTTTCACTACTGAACGTTTATTTTTAATCCACTTCCACTGAATATGAGGATTGCCGGGCTATTGAAAAGAATTTCGTTGTCTGTCCAATTCAACGACCTTCCAAGGTTGTCGGTCTGAAATAATTTTTGCAATTTCAGTTTAAAATTTCGTTCAATTAACCGCGGTTTTCGAATCATTAGATGGTGACTTGTTTATCCTCTATTTTAGGAATAGTCTTATTATAGGTCGTTTGCCTCTTTCCTTCACTTAAAACTTCCAAACATGTTGAGATATTTCAAAATGACAGAAAATGTTTCATTCAAAGTATTGACAAAAACGCATGACAGTATAGCGGACAAAACTTTTGAAATAACCTAGTAATTTCTTTAGACAATACAGAAAATATTGCTAGTATAGTCGAAGTAAACGATATTGTGCATATTTGAAGTGACGGCACTCTTAGAGGCCAAAAAAACCAAGACATAGAAAGCCGAACTAGTCCACGTGGACTGTATACTTTTCGGTTCGTATTGGATAGTTTTTACTAACAGAGTTTTATGATTGGCTGAAGAGTCATAAAATTAAGTTTGAAGTTATATTACGGTGACGAATAGAAATCGGGGAATGTTATCGCCGTCGTGTACAGTTCAGGAACTGATCGCGATTTGAGTGTTGAAACTCGACATTTGTGCAGTTATAATTACTTAAAAAATTTTGTTATCTGTTTAAAATGTGGCGTCCTTGGACAAGTTCTAATAGTAATAACGAGTGTGATAACAACGCATACTTTTTCCAGTGTAGTGATTCCAATAGCGATGGTGAACAATGCGAAAAAGAGATACCAGTGAATAAGATTCGGATGCATTTGAATATTGAAACATTCTATATTTATTATATAGTTATTGTGATTTTTATATAATCGGAAATGATTATTGAATAACGAAATTAGTTAGCTCTCTAACTATATTATTGAAGGGGAGTTGTTGGAAGATAGGTTGCACTATATCGTTTACTTGAACTATACCTTTAGAAATAACACCCTATATCAACGTAACTTCAAACGGATACCTATGTTTTTTTATAATTATAATATACATACACGCGTGTAAACCCATTGACCTGCTACAAATGTTTACAACATAATGTGGTTGAATAAAGGTCTGAATCTATAGCTTGTCGAAATGTGTGGTGTCTGATTTTTCAGATTCCAAAACAGCTTTTCAATAGACACATGCAACGTTTACGAATGCAGAATATGTTGACATTGCTTTTATTTACAGATTTCATAACCGAAATACGACTTATGCTCAGCGGTAAAAGTGCGTTCGTTGCTCTCCAGAAAGACGTGTGCTGTTAGTGGGTGTTCTGGGTGTATAAAAACACTTCAAGATCTCGGTAAAAGTGAAAATCTTCGTTCACGTTTACGACCTCCTACAGATACTGAGGTAGAAAAGCAAATCGTTGATTTATTGTCAATAAAACACATGTACTTTCTGTTGTGTTTCTGTGGGTTATTTAATCACTTAAAACACAACTACTATTTCTCCATTACTTTACCATCATTGCATTTACTCTCTCTTGTTTCAGTATTAGATGGGCTGAAAAGTTTCTAGGTTAACGCACAGATGGCGTTGCAAGTACCAAATTCATATGATTTTCAGTTAACCCTAACCTTCAAAAGACTTTTGTACAAATTTCACAGCTGTCGGATTATAAGTTTGTGGGATAGAACATTTTCAGTGGAGCAACTTTTGTTAGTTTGAAAAAAATTTATTAAAAGAAAATTTGTGTGTTGATGAAGCATTGCTTTTTGGCGAAAAAAAAATACTGTTGAAGCCAAGGCTTGGCTTGATAAACATTATTCGGACCAGGAAAATCAACCGTTGAGAATTGGTTTGCTGAGTTTGAAAAATGTGAAATGAGAACTGACGATGATGCAGACAGTGGACGGCTCAATGAGGCTGTTATCGACGAAGGCATCAAAAAAGACCACAAAATCATTTTGGATGAATTCAATGTGAAGTTGATCGAGATAGTTGAGGCTCTAAAGATATCAGGAACGTGTTGGACATATCGTGCATGAATTTTTGGGTATGCGAAAGCTCTGTTGAAATTGGGTACTGCGCGAGCTCAGAATCTACCAAAACCAACAACGAATTGATGATTCTGGGCAGTGTTTGGAACTGTTCCACCATAACATCTTCAGCGATCATCAATATGACTTTCGGAAACAAAGATCAACCAAACTGAGGATCTAGAAGTGATTTCGATTTGGGGTGAAAGTAACCATGTTCAATTCAATGCTACAAAAACCCAGGCATCGGTTTTCTCCGAAAAGATAAATGTCTCCGAACTGGATATAATAATGTCAGTATAGACAACTCCGCTTTCTGCTTCGATGGGTTTGTTGGGCGTTAATATGTCTTGGCACAATCATGTCGCTGGAATTGCAAAAGCTGCTTCTCAAAAGCTTGAAACACTATTCCGAACCAGAAAACTGTACACACCTCAGCAACTTTTGATGCTTCATAAAGCTCAGATTAGACCTTCTTTGGAGTATTGTTCTTATGCATGGAGCTCCGCCCCGAAGCATACTCTGAAGTTGTTGGATTCCATCCAGAAAAGAGCCATCCGCTCATATAGAGACGCGAACATCACTTGCAACCTTGATAGTCTGGAACAGACAGACAGACAGACATTTTTATTGATCATAAAATCACCAATTTACATCGGGTTGACAGGTCATAAAACTTAAAAATACAATTGGAAAATAACATTGCAACAGTAATAAATAATATGTCATATAGGACAACAGGTTAGCATTATAATAAATAGTAAATGTTTATGCATGAAATGCATGAATTTTGACAGAATAAAAAGAGTTCATCAGCTCATCTCAGTTCATATTGCAGAGAGTGGAAAATTCCTGAATGTTATAAAATGTACTCGTGATCAAAAACGACTTAAGACTATGTTTGAATCTGGCCAGTGGAAAGTCATCTTCGGGTCAGTCGGGATGGAGTCCAGCTACCCTAACCTTTCGGCTGATTAATGGTCTCGAGAAGGACCAATGGGTTCTTGACTGATGGTATGACGGGCTTGTTATAGTTTTCAAATCGTTTGGCAAAATCTCTAAGTACTGCATACCAGCGTAGTCTGGTGATTTTTTCTAACCGTTTTTCACCTTTTGCAGTCTGAATTGATTTTTTTGTCGTGTTTGGTAGCCATGAACGTCGCTGTTAAGCTCAAAGTTATTTTTATTCTTGTAAACATATCTTATTAGTTTATATAAATAAATACCTGTGAAAGTTAATAATTGCTTTGTTCTGAATACTCCTCGGCAGGACTCACGAACAAAGGTTGGGCATTTGTCTCTCTACTAAAGATACTTTCATGGGAAGTTTTCAAGTGACTTGACACATTTGATTCCACCAAGAGCGGTACATATAAGAAATACACGACGGACTGTGACTGTGACAGAGTAAACTCAGCTTACGACTCCAACTGACCTCCCTGTGAATTTAGATCAGGAGCGGGTCTACAGAGGAGGTGGATGTCGAGCTTCGACTCCCACTGAACTCCCTGTAAATTTAGATCAGGAGCGGGTCTACAGAGGAGGTAGATGTCGAGCTTCGACTCCCACTGAACTCCCTATAAATTTAGATCAGGAGCGAGAGCTTCTCAACTCTCCAAACCAGAGGCGAAGAAGCCCTGATCGGGTGAATCTAAGGCATCGTCAGGTGTAGCTGACGTGCAAAAACCCTCATATGGGAAGGTTGTCGCGGGTATCAAGGTGGAAATCTTGCACTTCGACTATCCCACTACCTCATTAACGATGGAACAGCAGAGCATATACTTTGTGCCTGCCCCGCTGGTGACCGAATCAGGTTTTTAGAGTTCGGCAGAGCCGTACTCCTATCATCCTCCTGGATCCTGCGGGAGAAGGAAATATTAAGAGCAGATAGTTGTTGGTTCACAGATGGATCAAAAGCACCTTCCAGTTCTGGTGCAGGTGTTTTCAGTCGCAGACCCAGAACAGAGTTATCTACCTGCCTAGGAACTTATGCGACTGTATTTCAAGCGGAAATTTACGCTATTGAATTGTGTGCGGGGAGATTGGATAGCAGAAAATCGGAGAACACGCAAAACACTTGTAACTAACTATGCCTCTCACCAACAAACTGAACATGCTAAACAGCTGAGACTACTGTGAACATATGTTCAAGACAAGTGTACCAACGTCAAGAAATGAAAACAACGCCAATCGACTGTACGTAGTCCGCGAAATTTGAACGTTCACCTCGTACCCGCATACTTTGAAATAACTCATTATTATTATTATTTTGTTTAGTGATGTAATCGTTGGTATTGATATCCATTAATGCTGATACTGAAACCAAAAATGGCTTCAGAGGTGTCCAGTACATCCTCGTTCAATAAATACAAGAAACGTGTTTGTCAATATAAACGTTTTATTAAGATTCGCGATACGATACTTCACCCGTTTCGTACGAGATGAATTTTTAATCGAACATTTGAATAAAATATTACAAACACGGCAAGATTGCCTCGGGATATTGATATAGCTTTTAATCGACGTAGATTACTTCAT